AGCTCCAACTTGAATTAAAACTGCGTAGTTTCTAGGGTAATGCCAAAATTCCTCACAAAACGTCTTCAAAAGTAAAGCTTCACCGATTCCCTTTGAAATCAAGTCAATCGGCAGTAACTGTCTAGTCTAGGGCAGTCTNCGGTTCACTCCAATGAAACCTTTTAGATGAATCTTCAAAGACGTTCAATGAACAAGGCAACGTTGAGAAATTTAAGCTCTCCCCACTCAGTTTCCAGTTCGAGGCTCATTCTGAATCTCTACGAAACCCCCTACGAAATAACTAGAACCACTTCGAAAACGAAAGTCGGAGCGTAGGCGATTCTACTTCTACTCTACCAGGCGCCCATTCCAGTACAAAAACTTTTCTCAGTGATCTCACAGTATCAACTGGATACCTGACCTATACCGCACCTTCACCGCATTCATGAATAGTTCCTTAAGAGCGAGAGCAGAATTCGTGATTTTCTAGGTACTATACTGCTGCAGTATAGAAACGGATATTTAAGCTCAAAGTTTCTGTAAACCACTGGTCTTTCATTACGTGATGCTAAAGCCTCGTGAGGAACGGGCAGAAACTCGGCTTCGGACGGATTCCAACTTGTGCTGTTTGGGTACCTTGCTCTTTAGCCATCGCGCTAGAGAGACCTTGGTTGTCATCGCCTTCTTGATGGCTTTTAAGCCCTGGCTTAGTAGCTATTCCGGGTCTGAATCCCTTCCTAAGCCGGTGGATTACCCATAATTCATCGATCTTGTGAGCCTTAAGACTTTTTTCTGCACCTTGGCGTGCATTTATCTATCAATATTGTCTCATGTGATGCGATTCCCGAAGTACAGTCTACTGGATTTTCATGAGATCAAATTTTGGGAGAGTCACAATTGGTACAGTCAGTACTCCTGAAAGAGGGGATAGATTGCGGGTATCGACTGCTCCCTCAACATCGAGACTAGGCTACAGCTCACTGGGACCTTTTCTCTTCTCACTGTTCCACATTCCTGATTCCTCAGGGAGAGGTTTCGAGCGCGCATACCTAGTAATTTGAGAAGCAGTGACATTAATCAACCTAATCCCTCTAGGTAACCCTTCTCTTTGATGTACTGAATATCGAGCAAAAATGCCTCAATGGGAAGGCTACAATTTTAGAGCTTTTGTCGCGTGGCTTTATTCCCAGATTTTATCTAAATTTGTTTCTAAGTAGCGATTTAATGGAATGAGCCATTCATTCGCAAGTAAGGGAGCTGATTTTCGTGAAAAGCCAATAATAAAGGTTAATTGACCAATCACAGGTTCCATTTTCTAGACTTTATTTTGGTGTGCAGATGATGTACTACACTCGATTAGTTAATCACATTTGCGTCTGCAGAACGATGTAAGCCTAAACTCATAGAGCACTTCCAGCTAGGTCTAGTCTGAACTGTTTGTCAGTTTTAATACCCTGACCGAAGAGGGTGAAGAGGTACTTGCCTATTTGACGATGCTTACGTGATTAAGTGTTTCGTATGTTTGCGGTTGATATGACCCAGTGAAGGGCAGCTTTTAGAGGATTAAATAAGCAAATAAGCAAATAAACAAGTAGATGTGGGACAGATGCGTTTTGGGAACCGATCGATCTGACTTAAGACTCTATGAAAGTTCAGAGCCTTTCGTTAACTTTGCCAGGACCGGTTCAGAGCACCTTGCGCTACTCAATTTCAAGTGGTTAGGAGTGAAATTGTAGTAGAAAAAGTACCGCTGGAAGGACAAATGGGTAATTCTGTTGAGCGCAGAGGGATGAAGAAATGACAACTCGTACGAATCAGTTTGTAGCGTTCGTCCTTTTCTTTACATCATAGTTCGACGAACAAACATGTAGGACTTAGAACCCATCTATCTTTGACACTTTCCTTCTTTTGACTTTGGAACTATCTTGAAGAATAGGCAGGAGTGGTTTAATGACATGTATCGAACGCATGGTCCAGGGATCTAATCCTGGATGATAAAAGCTAGGGCGATCTAGCGTCACACCCCCGAAGTCGACTAATTGGCACCAGATTCGTCTGAGACGTTGGGAGCGCTAACTTTCACATCAGTCAGCCACTCAACTCACTGTTAAGGTCACATACCCTATCAAATTGCCACTATGATTCTGAACGAAAGTGGAGAGCATGGCGAATCGGAGAGGGTGCTTTGACCGATGCGAGACTTCATTCCCTATCCTTTATCCTTCCCTACAAAAATAAAAGAAGTCTAGGTCTTGGCCCTCACTCTGTTTTACTATCGGTTCCGTTTCGTATAGAATTTCTTCAGATTGCATCGGAATAGTGAGCTGCGTAAGATTGATAGCCGGAGGGTGTTGCGTGGGTCTTATCCTGCATTTGGGAAAACATTTCGAATAAACATTATTGGGTATCCCAATTGTAGAATGTCGATTCACTCGAAAACAACAATGACGGAAGAGCCGTCAAAAGCTGGATAAGACAAAACGAACTGGAACATCCTTGATGTATGCCTCTGTTCCATTCGCAATGAGTCATACCCCGACCATTTGTAGAATAGCTAATGGCTACAAGCCGATATCCTTTCACCTCATTTCTACCTCATTTGTAGCAGGACTGAAAAAGAAGTGTCTACTCGAAGCTGGAAAATGTATATCCCCATCCTTTCCTCTTTCAGATCATTGTAAAGGGTGGATGCGAACACACTAAAGTCTAAAGCCTTCTACCATTGATGAATCGCGTTCCAGCATGTGTTCCCGCACTCTACTTTCATTCGTGCTCGTAGTATCAAGTCTTTGGGATCAGTTCCTGCAAGGGCGCCCCACGAAAGACCATTCAGACTCGTACCGACGTTTTGAATGCGTTTGTGGCCTATACATTAGCTTGGGGTGGCTAGCAAATGTACAGACCACGGCTTTCAACCCCTCAAAGCCGTTTGTTTCCAGTTAGCAGTCCCACCACGGATTGAACACTTGCTTAGCTTGGGTGGATCTGCGTATCATGTCTATGCGATAGTACCCAACTTGTCACCACACCAACTCGGCCAAGGTATTCGCATAATTCCGAAGAAAATCTCAAAGCAGTTAGTGAGGATTGGATGGCGAAAACAACAGCAACAAAACATCAAGTCAAAAAACAATTTTGAACATCCCTCCCTTATGTCTCCTCTCCAAAAAAAAACGGCTGAGTTGGCTAGGGCCCAAAACTTAGAAAAGATCGACTCGCTCCTGCATTTTTTCGACCCACTGCCTCCATGACTGCACACATACCACATAAATTAACGACATCAATAGAATCTTTGACATCGCTATACGGTAGCCAATACGTAATTCAGTAATCGTCTTTCATGAAAGCAGTCAAAGCCATGGGATTATTGGTTATGTTCTCATAGCGAGCGTTATTTATTTAAAAGGCTCTTCAACTCGAATAAAGTGGTCTGTGGACGAGTTCTCACGTTTTTCTCGTTTCTTGCAACTTGAATTGAGATTTTCCCTTAGAAATGCTATTAAAGAATCAATGGTGGTGGTAATGGTGCAGGCACAACAAAGATTACTTTATCATTCATCTATAAGTAGTAAGAGACAGAGATGGCTGGTAGAGGGATGAAGTTGGTGCCTGTGGGTGAGGTGACGCATGGGGCGAGACGCTTGTTGTTGTTGACAAATAGATGCGATCTGCCTTATCTTCGACGACGTTCCATAAGTACGCATTGAATCGGAGAGAAATAACAGTTCTTGAATTGATTCAGTGCCCTCGGTTCAATGATATGCGCCCTCTTCCATAATCGATACGGGACCATTTGCCGTAGAGCAGCTCTGAAACATGAACATGATCACATGAGCTCCAACTTGAATTAAAACTGCGTAGTTTCTAGGGTGATGCCAAAATTCTCCACAAATGTCTTCAAAAGTGAAACTCCACCGATTCTCTCTGAAATTAAGTCAATCGGCAGTAACTGCCTAGTCTAGGGCAGTCTACCAAACGTCAGGGCAGGTAAGAGCCAGGTTAAGGAAGAATAAAGACGGCTCGGGGTATGTGAACGACGTAGTGAGTATATAGTTTGAAAACAGAGTTCTATTCAAACGATACGGTACAAGTATGATTCTACCAATCGCCGTGGCTACAGTATGAATGACAACAGCGATTGGAGTGATCAGAACGGGAACCATCGTAACCAATCATCGATCGGATGATCTACCGTACCTCTAAATAAAAAGGGAAAGAACGATGTAAAAAGAAAAATGAATTTATCTTATTCCGGGCATACTTAAAAGGGCTATTGCATGTTACTGCGGATAAACCTCGTAATACTGCTTCTTCCAAGAGTACTGTTGACCTTGGGGGCACTCTGTGTTCGGAAGACTTGATATCCTCAGGGTCACGCCAAGTCCTCTGTCAATGATACCTTTGTTAGGCGAGTCCCAGTTGACCATGGAAATTTTTCGAAGTGCCAACTGGTAGTGGAGTTCATCTGGGAGGTCCCTAACATTTGCTACGTTGTCTATCAGTAGCCCACATAACAAAGAGCGACTAAATGCCATGTGTTAAGCCTTTTGAGAAGTGTCTGCCAAAATTTTGCTGCAGTTCATTTTTCTAGAGCGTCCTAGAAGTTACCATGGAACGACTGTACAAGGATGCTACCCTTTCACGTGTGCATGACATAACTGGCTTCCTACTCTTGCTTATTTAAGACCTTGATAGCCATACAGTGGCATAAATGAATTATTGCGAGTTCGAGCCCGGTCTCTCCGCTGTTGAAGTTACTTGAAATCTCTGTCTGTTTTCCCTCTACTGTTCTGCATCCGCCTACTTCCACTAGCTAGCTTCAAAGAAGGTCCAAGATGAGCTTTGACCTGGTCACTCGACTACGATAATATAAAATGAGCGATTCACTTTTAGGGTAGTTTTATAGAAACTGTTGAAAGCCCCCCAAAAAAACTCTAGACTTCTGTAGAAATTTCCGACGAGCTCTGACCTAATAGTACAGGTACCACAAGTACGAACCCAGAACTACTTTTGACAACTCGCACTAATTGATTAATCTTTCTATTTGTAGATGGTAATTCGATAATTGTTTACTTTGAGGGCACCGTTCTATTAAAATTTCCATTCTTCTATAGAAAAACGTCAGCAATTATAGAGGAAAAGCAGAAAAGCTTATCTTGGAGAGAAGCTACTCCCACTAGGTGTAAAAGGGGCAGAAGGGTCTATTCCCATAGCTTAACAATACTGGGCACCCGGAGGTTGTGACTGCCCTGGAAACTTACTCTTCGCTCTTTGCCGACCTTAAAAAGGACTGTTCCACTTCTAGATTCAAACTTCCTCCCGAAGTAATTGGTTAATGAAATCTCAGCCAAACCCTGTCTTCCAGTTTCCACTGCAGCACGTAGGGCCATTAAATTGGAGCTCAGCAGCTACCTCAATTTAGTCTCCAGAGACCTTCCCGATTAATTATATTGAACTATTCGAAGTAGACGAGATGCTCTGAGAAGAGACTTGAAGTCTTTCATGCTCTTCTCAGAAACAGACAGCTCTATATATCGACTACAAAATCCTACCCAGAACAAACGTTTTCGAATTACAAATTGAAATTGTACTGATACTACAAGTAAAAATTAAAAATGAAGCCTGTACGTAGCCTGTACGAAAAAAAAATTCTAAAAGACCCCTTTTTTTCTGAGAATTTTTTCTGAGGAAAGACAGAGCACTCCGTATCTAACCGACAAACTGTGGGGCAAACAGGAGACCCTTTTTAGATTCGTTATACATTATTTAGATTATATACACAATGCAAGCATAAGATAACATCCGATATAACCAAAGTTCCCATTTCACCATGGACCCTAGACTTATAAGGAATTATTCAGATGGGGCTGAATGACGATGTCGAGCAGCAGCTAAGAGAAAGGGTGTCAAATTGCACCTTGCATATCCAGGGGCTCAGGCTAGGCTATTCCAAAGTTCTACTTGGGATGAATGATGAAAGTTTGACTGGGTTTTGGTAAAAGGAAAAATTTGACGTCAGCGATAGTTGTGGGATCCGTTCATTCCCTTTAAGAGGTAGGGTATTGCCCAATAGTGGATGGCTTCTCCTTTTCACAGGTCCAAAGATTCGTCCGGGGACTTAAAGGACGCTCAATGCTTTACACTTCTTTTCCGCGGGTCTCCCTCCTCCTTTTATCTACTCAACAGTTGGTTACCGCAATTCTCCTGAGCCTATCCCTTGTCCCCTGGTAATTACAGTATGGAGTTCATCCCACACTTTCGTTTAGTTATTGTTTTTAGGAATTCCCCAGACGAAACAAAACTTTTCATCAGACGAATTGAATCTATGTATAGAAATTGATGGAAACAAAAACGGAAAGCAAGAGATCGAACATCATATAGATAGTTGGTTCTGATTATGGTCTCGGAACATCTAGGTACTGGTTAGTACCTATATAGCTCAGCTTAATTGTTGGGGAGAGTCAGAAGTGCAGATTTATCGGTGACGTACGCCGATGAGGAATCACTTTGGGTACAAAGAGAACGATTGGCATTCTGAATGACATCAGGAGAGCCGGAGAGTTACGAAAAAGGTTTCTAAGTGGCATTAGGGGAACCAGAAATTCATTGAACAAGTTGTTCCGGATCTCATATCGAGGATCCTCTCTTAGTGTTTCATTGAAGGGTGAGATGGATCCGACGAAAATTTCAGTTACTAGGAGTTTTTGGCAAAAAATTTTGAATAGATTATAATTTTTATGCAATTACTATGTAATTAATAACGATAAATTTGTAATCAGTATTGAATATCCCAAACTTCTTATACATTCCCGAAACATGCACTCCCCCAACAGGCATAGTCGAGCAGCTGAAGGCACCATGTTGCTTCGGAACGCTCTCCAGGATCAAACCTCAAATGGAACTTCGAAGGCTTCTTTATTCTGCTGGCTACTAGGAATATTATGGACATGTGGGTGAAACTGTGATTCAAAGGAAAGTGGGTGGTCTGACCTATCTCAAGGATGGGTATTGCTCCTGAACAGGGTGAAACAAGGGTCAATGTGAGGCTAAAAAAAGATCGGTAGGCTCCCAACGAGCTTTTACAGCAAAATACGCATAAATCTAAACCAAAGTAAGATTTTATCAAAGGAAAAATTATTTTTGAAGATTCGCCTATTTTCGAATTTGAATGAGAAACGAGAAACAGATTAAAAAGTTGCCGAAAGTGACTATCATGAACCTCCTTACTGCCACGATTCATCAACTGTGGAGTTGCAATTACTCAAAAAGGTAGGTAGGTAACTTGTAAGATTCATATTACGACTCTTTCCAAGCCAGTCATCAATCCCGATTGGAGAAGCTTCACATATCGAACGGAGCGATTCTAGAAAAAGCAACTTGACTTCACATCTTCTGTCCACATTGTTTCCCGAAAAGTGGATGGTACTGTACAGTCATTTTGGTTTGGTCAATGTTTTACCTGATAGATTCCATATTGGAAACATTTCTGGGCCGAGGACAACTTTCCTGTCTNCCTGTCTCAGTCCATCAAAGTTCATCAATGGGACTGCTCGCAAGGTTGGCGATTTATGGACAAAACCTCAGTCTCGGACTACATTTCATGAGCTTACACCCCATACGCTTCCCCTTAAGGTGACAGAAAGTTCAGAAATCAGCGAAACGCCTTTGGACGTGAGTCATCTGACCAACTCTATGGGATCGAAAGTCATTTTTTTTATGTTCCCACATTGTTTCCATGGAAATTCTGAGCGTGCTTAGGTGCTTGGCCTTCCTACGAGGTGATAAATCTCTCGCCTCGGGTGTTTTAAGTACGCCGCCCCGACCAGCGGCCCGAGTCCCTGGTGGCAAAGTCAAAGCTACGTGGAATGAATTTCTTATTGAAAAGGATAAGGATTCAGATAAATTCATGGAATCTATGCCCATTGCCCATTCATGGAATCTTTCAGAGAGAGAAACTATTCGCACGTTTTTCACCTGGGCCACATCGAAAATGATCCCACTTTCGCGACTTTCATTGAAGACTCAGTGAAGGCCATCAAGAATTCAATAAAAACACTGGGAATATAGATTCCGCTCCCACGGCTTCCTAAACTAGAAGTAAGCCAGGTTACTTTATTTAACCTTTAGGAGGTCACGTATCTGAAATGGGGAAATATCGGCGTATGTAATGTTATTCTATTTTTATGTCAAAAACTACACCGGTATCGAACTTTCACCTCATTTGGGTGATTTCGAGCAGGGAACGGGGTCTACTGTAACGGCACCATTACCCTTATCCTCTTCCATCAACACCTCTACTGCCCAACTAACAGCCCTTGAAAGAAAAACCGTCTCGAATTTCAGAAAACAACGGAAAAGCGAAATGGACTTCATTACCCGATGAAAAATGATGTGGTACGTCCTGGCTTACCATATTTTACAAGTGACAACAGTCGCTATTGGTATGGTGACAAATGGCGCACTCCAATACATGTACGGTCCAGGGATTGAGTCTCGCATGCCCAGTGAACCAACCGTCCATCTCCCATGGTTAGGCTGATTGATACCAGATTTGCCTGGGTGGATGGTGGTGAAAGCGCTAACAGCACTGACATACCAACTGGCTACCGCGAATCATTGACTGGACTACATGGGTATTCCGAAACCACAACGATTCTAAATGGAAGTCAAACGCGGGTTGTTTTCCATAGAACGGGATTGATCAACACTCCTTATCCTATGCCTTCATCCCTTGAGCTGGATTATTTACTGGTTTGATCAATTCCGTCACGACAACAGGGCTAACAAAATAGG